CAGGGAGTTACATACCCCGCCTGCCACGGGATCTGGAGCAAATGGGCCCCACCCTTGGAAAGGAGTCGTTTGGCGACCACTGCCTTTTGCGGTGAGAGGAAGGGGCTGGAGACGCAGTCCTGCATGGGAAGAAGGGGTGGTGGCCTGAACTCGCCACAGAACTGGCCACAGAACTGGCCACAGAAAGGGAAAAGATTGAGGGGGTCCACGCTCCAAGATGCAAGGAACTTGACCTGTTCTTTTACCTTGCATCCTCCTCCCCTTAGGTTCCTATGCCGGGGCGGTGGTCGCGATGCCCCTCGCCGGGGTCCTGGTGCAGTATTCAGGATGGAGTTCTGTTTTCTATGTCTATGGTGAGGGCCCCAGACGCCTGGTTCCGGGTGGAAGCGAGGCCTATCATCACTGGTCCTCACCAGGCTGCTGCCTTCCTCCTGATCTCTCTTAGGCAGCTTCGGGATCTTCTGGTATCTGTTCTGGTTGCTCGTTTCCTACGAGTCCCCTGCCCTGCACCCCAGCATCTCAGAAGAGGAGCGCAAGTACATTGAGGATGCCATCGGAGAGAGCGCAAAGCTCATGAACCCAGTCACGGTCTGGACTCAAGCTCGGAGCAGAGCCGGCAGGGAGGGGTCCGGGAGGGTTCCAGTAGTCTGGGAGGAGACTGGACTAAAGACGGGAGGAGCGAGACTAGAGCCTAGCTCAGAATTGTAAAGAGCCGAAGACTGGATTTGCAGGTGCTAGGGGCGGGGCTGGGGAGGGATTAGAACCGCCCATTGGGCGTGGCTAAAGCGGCAAAGGCTGGATTAGAACTTGGGAATTTTGCTACATGTGGAAGATGGGCCTAGTTTTTCCTTTTCTTCTTTCCTTCCTTTCTCTCTCTTTCCTTCCTTCTTTCTTTCTTTCTCTTTCTTGTATATGCTGGTATTAGGGTTTGAACTCATGGCCTGGGCTCTGTCCCAGAACTTTACTATTCAAAGCTGGCACTCTACCACTTGAGTCACACCTACACTTTTGGCTTTTTGCTGGTTCATTCGAGATAAAAGTCTCACTGACTTTCCTGCCCAGGCTGACTTGGAACCCGGATCCTCAGATCTCAGATAGCTTAGTAACTAGGATAACAGGTGTGATCACCTGCGTCCAGCATGGACTCATATTTTATGGGTTCCAGATAGTCATCTGGGGGCCTGAGTGCCGCGAACTTGGGGGTGGTCAAGGGGAGGCACTGGGCCATCAAGACTTCTCCCTGTAACCCCTTCCCCCCATTTGGAGGCTCAGATTCTGACGTCTCCGCGGGGCAATGACACCCATTTTAGGTCCCTGGAGCAGTTCTGGATCCTCTGCGGGACTACAGTGAGATTCATAGGACTGGGAAGCACGCCGCCCTGGCCCGCGTTTCAGCGGCCTCCCTTCTCTCTGCTCTCCCCCACGTAGAAATTCAACACCCCCTGGCGGCGTTTCTTCACGTCCATGCCGGTCTATGCCATCATCGTGGCCAACTTCTGCCGCAGCTGGACGTTCTACCTGCTCCTCATCTCCCAGCCCGCCTACTTTGAAGAAGTGTTCGGCTTCGAGATCAGCAAAGTACGGCCCCCCAGGGGGCGGGGCAGGGGCGGGGACGCGGGCAGGCGGGGCGGGAGCGGGAACCCGGCGGTGAAGGGGCGGGGCCTTCTCGCTGGGCTGTGCGTTGGCAGTTCCCGCCCTCCTCCCGCCTCACCCCGGCACCCCCGCGCTCGCAGGTGGGCTTGGTGTCGGCGCTGCCCCACCTGGTCATGACTATCATCGTCCCCATCGGCGGGCAGATCGCAGACTTCCTGCGGAGCCGCCGCATCATGTCAACCACCAACGTGCGCAAGCTGATGAACTGCGGGGGTGAGTGCGGCCGCCTGGGCGGGGCTGGGGCGCGGAGAGGCGAGGCGTGCTCAGGGGCGTGGCAAAGGGCGTGGCCAAGAGGACCCGCCCAGGTGAGGACCCACCTGTGTAGAACAAGTTTGCAAACGGTAGTTCCAGAGTCACTTCGAGGTACCGCAGGGTGGCTGGGCACGTGAAAGAGGCCGAGCTAGGATCCAGCTGACCCAGGAGGGGCGTGGCCTGGAGTGGGAGTGGTCAGGCCACACGATCTAGGCCAGCTTGAAGGGTCATAGTTAGTTCAAGAGGGCGTGGCTTGGCCCGGAGTGGGCGTGGTTTAGTCTGGAAAGGCGTGGTTGGCCCGGAGGGACAGCATCTGCTCGGAGGGGTGTGGCTTGGCCTGGCCTTGAGCGGGCATGTCTGGTTTGGGAAGGCGTGGCTTGGCGGGGAGGGCGTGGCTTGGTCAGGAGGGGCAGGTCAGTGCTGATATGGGCGGAGCAGGACCTGTGCTGGGTTGTAGAGGAACTGTGAGTGGGGCACCAGGGCAGACAAAGGTGTTGAGTGCTGTCAGTTGAGTGCAGACAGAAGGGAAGTACAAAGGTATTGAAGAGACTCGGCTCCTGGGACTGGGGCGTGGCTTAGTCGGGGGCGGGGCCACAAGCATTGGGAGTGGGCGAGGGCTGAGCCTTGGGGGTAGGCCGGGGGTCGGGGGGACGCGGACAGATCGGGGCGGCAGCTGGTCTGGGGAGGTGGGGTAGGGCAGCCTGCGCCCGCCCTAGGAAATTCCGCCCTTGCAGGCTTCGGCATGGAAGCCACCCTGCTGCTGGTGGTCGGGTACTCGCACTCCAAGGGCGTGGCCATTTCCTTCCTGGTCCTCGCGGTGGGCTTCAGCGGCTTCGCCATCTCCGGTGAGAATTGCAGGGCCGCAGCTCGGGGTGGGGGTGGGGGGCGCCCTGTGAGTTCTGCAGAGAGACCTCTGGTTCAGAAAGGTGACTCCCTGATTTAAAAGAGCCGGAGGGGGACGGGGTGGGGGGAAACGTCCCAGAGGGAGTCCTCGGAGCAGGTGCGGCCCCTCCTGGAGGGGCCTCCTGGAGGGGCGCCTCCTGGAGCTGCCTCTCCCCCCAGGCTTCAACGTCAACCACCTGGACATCGCCCCGCGCTACGCCAGCATCCTCATGGGCATCTCCAACGGGGTGGGCACCTTGTCCGGGATGGTGTGCCCCATCATCGTGGGTGCCATGACGAAGCACAAGGTTAGTAGCCCACGCTGGGCCTCCAGATCGCGAGCTTCCCACCTCGGCCTCCCCAGGGCTGACATTACAGGTGTGCACCTCAGTGGCCGGCTTTATCATTTCTTGGGACTGGTACCTTTTGGGCATAACTAGCCACCACCCCTTTCTCTGGTTCACCCTTCCTCATGGTCAGCCCTACCCCCCCACCCCCAATATTTGACCTCCTGTTGTCTCCTTACAGACTCGGGAGGAGTGGCAGTACGTGTTCCTAATTGCCTCCCTGGTGCATTATGGGGGTGTCATCTTCTATGGGGTCTTTGCTTCTGGAGAGAAGCAGCCGTGGGCAGAGCCGGAGGAGATGAGTGAAGAGAAATGTGGCTTCGTTGGTCATGACCAACTGGCCGCCAGTGACGAAAGTGACATGGAAGATGATGTTGAGCCTCCCGGGGCGCCCCCTGCTCCCCCTCCTTCCTATGGGGCCACACACAGCACAGTTCAGCCCCCAAGGCCCCCACCCCCTGTCCGGGACTACTGACCAGGTGCCTCCCACTGAATGGCAGTTTCCAGGACCTTCACTCCACACATCTCGGGCCTGAATGATGGTGTTAAGGAACCCCACTCCTTCCTGTCCAGCTTCAGGCCCAGTTCCCAGTGCAGTCAAATCCTCAAATACTTTTCCCTTTCCCCACAGCCTCTCAGGGGTGGTGAAGCTGCAGACCTGCAGTTTCAAGGATACCCGTGTTCCCCTAAGGTTACTCTTCTTCACTTGTTCTGCCTCAGTGGTTCCAAATGTCTCCTTTCAGGGCTTTATTTGAATGGACACTTCAACCTCTTACTCTTTTTTTTTTTTGGTTTTGAGGCACCTCCCATTTTCCTTGGAACCTTCTCCCCCACGGACATTTCAGGCTAATCCCTGAGATGACTCAACTTCCCTCTCTCAGAAAAAAAAAAATCAAAGTCCTCCTCTAGAAGTTCCAAATCTCACCTATCCATTCTGCATTTCTTAGGTTGGTTTAATCAAGCCCCAACCGCCATTCCCAGGATTTGATTCTCACCAGCGTTTCTGAGGGGGAAATGGCGGTTTCAAGGCTCCCCACTCCTCCCCCCCCCCCACCAGCAGATGCTGCTGTGAAACCAAATCCCCCAACCTCCTTCGCTTAGCACAAAGTTTAGGGAAGCAACCAAAATGGCAGTTTTGGCAACATGCCTCTCTCCATCCCATGCACTTTTTTCTGACAACTTTCAGGTCTAAATAGTGGCTGCTCAAGTGGATTAATTCAACGGTTTGAAGCCACCACCATTGAACTTCCCCTTGGTGGTTTCAAGACCCCTTCCTCCCCAAATCCTTGCACTTTACCTGCGTGGTTTCAGACGACCCACAGTTTCTCAGTGGCCATTTGTTGTGTCCCTCAGGGACTAAATGACTCAAAATCTGGGACCCGTCCCTTCTCTGACACCTCTCTTTCAGTCCGGGGTCTATGCATAAGAGAAATCACAGACTCCCAGGAAGGAAGTGGGATCAGGAAAGAGGGGTGTTTTTCCTGGGGCAGGGTTGTGTCTTGGTGTTTCTGTCTCTGTGATTGTAAATCCTGCCCTGCCCCCCTCCCAATAAAATGCTTTGGTGTACACACTCAGTTGTCATTGGCTGTGCGGGCCAATGACTCCTCCTCCCTCAGACCCAGGGGTCCAGACCCCAGCTGGCCTCCCTCATCCCAGGGGACTCAGCCCGGCCCCTCCTGCTGCAGGACTCAGACCAAGGATGTCCAGCCCTTGGAATACAGGATTTATTAGGTCCGAGGCCGTGGACCCTGAAGCGTGCGGGGCGGGGTGGGGGCGTGCGGGGCGGGGCGGGGAAGGGAGACAGGACTCCTGGGTGCTCCCTCGCTCCGGGAATGTCCCCGGTCGGTCCCGTGAGTCAGAAGCGGCTCACACGAAATTGTTGGGCAGCGTGGCAGGAGACAAGGCCTCCAGGGGCTGGGGTCGCCCCCCGCGGGGGGGCGGGGGCAGCTTGGGCGGCAGCGGGGGAGTGGACGGCGGCTGCTTGGTGGCGATGTGCGATGGGATCCAAGCATCAGGCGCATAAAAATAGAGGTCGTAGGGATCCTTCGGGGCGTTGACGTGCATAACTGTGGGGCAGGGGGGCGGGGTCAGGGCCTGGCGGACAGGAGGCCCCGCCCCCTTTGCAGGGCCTCTAGCCAATGAGGAGGATGGAGGGAGGAGTCAAACAAATGGGCGGGGCTCCGAATAAACAAGGAGGGCGTGGTTTATGCACGAAGGGCGTGACTTATTAGGGGTTCGACCTTCGGAGAGCGGGAGGGGCCTGTACGGAATGGGCGGGGCCTTCAGGTAGGGTGGGCGGGGCCCGCAGGGAAGGGGCGGGGGATGTAAAGCAGCCGTCACGTAGCAGGGCACGGAAGGGACCTGCTTCAGGGACCCGTGGTGTGTGTCTGCCGCAGTTTCCAACCCGGCTAATCCTGGGCCTACGCAGGATAATTAGGGAGTTGCGGGGGGGAGGGGTCGGGACTTCTAATGACCTAACATGGGGGCCATGCACTTGAGGTGGAGACGGGTACAGGAGGGGAGGCGGACACTCACCCGGCTCATCCCCGCCGTCCGGGAGCCGGTGGTGGGAGAAGGGCCGTTGCCGGGCCGCCCGGCGGTAGAGACACCACAGCAGCAAGACGACGCCGATCAACAGCCCGGTCCCCGCGAAGAACAGGCATAGAGCCCCGCCGCCGCCACCGCGGGGCCGCCCCACCAGAGCCACGCCTGCGGGGGACAGCAACCCAGCTCCCGAGTCCCTCCTCCCTCAGACCCCAGACTCCTCCCTCAGGCCCGGCCTCCCCTCTCAGACACAGCCCTCCTCCCTCACACCCAGCCTTCCTCCTCAGATTCCAGCCTCCTCCCTCCGACCCCAGCCTCCTCCCTCAGACCCAGGGGTCCAGGCCCCAGCCTCCTCCCTCAGACCCAGAGGTTCAGGGCCTAGCCTCTTCTCTCCGATCAGGTGCCAGGCCAGCCCTTACCTGTCTCTTTCACTCGCTCCACCACAATGATAGTGTTGACTCTCTCACCGCGGCCTCTCCGCTCTGGGGCCCGGGGATTGTCAGGGGCCAGCTGACTGGGGGGCCCTGGGGGAGCAGGGGGCCCTGCAATGCGGGCAGAGGGAGGAGGGGTGTCCAGCCCCTTAGGGTCTGAGTTTGGAGGGACCTCCCCTGGAGATTCTGAGGGGGGCAATATTGGGATGTCAGGGTGAGTGGCTGCAAGGGCTTCTGGGTCACTCAGAGCAGTAGTCCCCTCCAGAAAGGCCGCAGGTGTTTTTGGGTAAAGGTTTGTTGAGGTTCCAGTATCGGAGGTCGTGGGGGTCTCCGTGGCACCCCGATAGTGGGATGTGGGGAGTTCTGTTTCAGGAATCTCAGTGTGGCTGAGGGTATGGGGGACATGAGACTCTAGGTGGGTACTTCCGGTTGAGTCAGGACGGGTGGTGGGGGGTAATTCAGAGTATGGGGTCCCAGTGGTGACAGGGTCATGGGTTTCTAGAGATTTGAGGTTTAAGGAATTGATGGGCTCAAGACTTGGGGTAGCAGGTGGAATTTCTGTGGCAGTCAGTTTGGAAATTTCTGGGGTTTCTTGGCGTGTAGTTTGTGTAGGGTCAGAAAATTCTGGGTGTGAAATTTTGGAGGGATTAGGTTCGGGGACCTCCGGGGGCCCTGGGTCTGAAGTTTCAGTCAGGTTAGTTTTTGAGGACTCAGGAGGTTCTGGACGTGTTGCTTTGGTAGGGTTAGTTTTGGGGGTGTCCAGGGATTCTGGTATAGCGGTTGTGAATGGGCCAGCCCTTGGGGTCAGTGGAGACTTTGAGTGTGGGGTCTCCTGGAGGTCAAGACCAGGGGCTTCAGTAGAATCAAGGGATGAATTCTCATGGGAGACAGTGTGAGCTATCTTGGAGAGTTCAGGGGAAAGGGTCCCTGGGAACTCTACATTAGTCTGGGCTCCAGTGGAATTTTCAGAAGCCCCAGGGGAGTGACCCATCTCCTGGACATCCGAGCCCACGGGAGAGGCAGTTGAAGCAGCCTTGCAACCCAGCTGGGCCGTGAGGAGGACGAGGATGAAGAGGATGGGGTTGAGGGGTTTCATAGCTCCGAGAGATGTTTTATCTGTTGGGGAGCCGGTAGGAAAGCGTTAAAGGCAATTTTCTTCCCCCCTGAGATCCGCCCACCCAGAGGCTCCACCCACTTTGCAAGAGGCCACGCCCACAGACTCTCAAGTGGACCTGAGCTGAGCCCAGATTGGCCCCAGGGAAAGGAGTAGAGCTCAATGGTAACTCTCCATGGCTGTGGGGCTGTAGCCCCAGTAGCTAGGGGAGACTCAGGGGCCCCGTGAACCTTCCTGGGAGTTGTAGTTCTAATTTCCTTATCTGTTTCCCAGAAGGGCCCTAGAAAAATTGGGAAATTGTGACACCACTTCAAGGCCCCATTCATCTTCGGCTTCAACTTTGGGGCGTGTTGGACGTCTGAGGGGACTAGAGGTGCTGTAATCCTGGATACTCAGGAGGCTGAGATCTGAGGATCAGGGTTCAAAGCCAGCTCCAACAGGAAAGTCTGAGAGATTCTATCATCAATTAACCACCAGAAAACCAGAAGTGGAGCTGTGGCACCAAGTGGTAGAGCACTAGCCTTAAGCAAAAGAGCTCAGGGACAGCACCCCAGGCCCCTAAGTTCAAGCCCAACAACCAAGCATAAATAAATAAATAAGTAGAGTTGCTTATGCTAGAGGAGACTTGAAAGAGCTGGGGACTGGAACTGAGGATCTTAGAGAGGAGGAAGACTCTTGCTCTTAGGTGGGGAGGTTTGGGGGGGCTATTGAGCCCCCTGAGTTCCACAGCATGTGGGAGCTGGGTGGGGGTAGATGGATCTAAATTCCTGATTTTTCCTAAAGGTTAGAAGCCTAGAAATTCATGCACATTGCCTTTTAATTTGTTTTATTGGTTTGCTTGTTGAGACAAACAAATGTCTTATGTAGCCTAGGTTGCACTGGAACATTCGCAATCCTACTTCAGTCTACACTGTGCTGGGATTACAGGTGTGTACTGCCACGCCCAGCTGAGGATTTCTAGCCTCTCAAGGGAGGGGGCTTTGTCTTCTAGGGGAGAAAAGAGATGGGGGTATTGAACTCTTGGGCTAGAAGAAGTTTGGAATCCTGAGTCTGAGGGTCTGTAGTCTAGACAGCCTGGTAGAGCTGATAGGGGTGGGAGCTCTGGGGCAGGATCCTCATCTCCCTTGTTTACTGAGGAGATTGCGCTAGGATCCCAGCACCTGGACAGACATAGCAGTCTGCTCTCAGATGGAGTTGGAGGTTAGACAGGGTCACTTGGGATCATGGGGTCTCTTACCTGCTCAGTGATGTCCAAGATAAGAGCAGGCGAATCTTGCTGGACGCAGAGTCGAGTGAATGATGAAGAACGGCTCTGGGCGGGGCAGGAGTTAGGGTCCCCGAAGCACACAGGTGACGCACCTGATCCCTCTCTAGGGATGCTGGGAGCCTAGCGACAGCTTCGTTCTTAGGGAGAGAGATAAAGGACACTGTCTCTGGTGGAGAAGGGAGTTAGGGACTGAATGATCTGGGGAGAGATGTCACACAATCAAACTCTCTTCCTTTTGAAGAGGAGTCTGCTGGGTACAGTGCTGCATGTCCATAATCCCAGCCCTTAGAAGAGGAAGGGCAAGAGGATCTTGACTGTGAGACCAGCCTTGACTACATGATGAGACTCTGTATTAAAAAAAAAAGGAAGATAAAGAGAAGGAAATAAATAAAAGGATTAAGAACTCTGCCCTTCACCCTCTTTTACCCCCAAATCTAAGGCCTCCCCACCCCATACACTCCAGCTTTATGTCCCCAACTAGGAACTCACATCCAGGAATCGAGGCATCTAGCGCTTTCCTTTCCTAGGTTCAGGAATCCAGGTCCTCATACCCCCTCATTTCTCAGAGCCTGGGTCCCTGCCCTAATTGCTCTTTGGCCCTAGAGTCCATCCTCTGTCTCCCTCCTCTTTGAAAAGCTAAGAGTCCAGGTTGCATGCCCTAGATTATTGCTGCCCCTTTGTGATTTCCAGCCTTTGCCAACATCCCTACTGTATACCCAGAGCCCTCTCTTCAAAGCCCACCTGAACTAGCCAGGTGCTGTTGGCTCATGCCTGTAATCCTAGCTACTCAAGAGGCTGAGATCTGAGAATCACCACCAGAAAACTGGAAGTGGTGCTGTGGCTCAAGTGGTAGAACACTAGCCTTGAGCTGAAGAGCTGAGAGACAGCGCCCAGACCCAGTTCAAGCCCCATGACCAACCCCCCCCCTCCCTCTGCAAAAACAAAAAAAAGTCTACCTGAACGGAGTCTGGTGGTACACATCTAAAATCCTAGATAGAAGCAGGAGGATCACAGTCCAAGGCTATCTCAGGGCAAAAGCATGAGACCCTACCTGAAAAAAAGAAGTAACTATACAGCAAGAAAAGGATGGAGGGCTGGGCTCAAGTGGTCAAGTGGTAGATCGCCTGTCTAGAAAGCAGAAGGTCCCCGAGTTCAAAGCCCAGGATTGTCAAAAGATCCACGGGAGAGGGAGTAGATTTTGTCTCCATCCCCCAAAGGGATGTGGGGTTACAGCTATAGGGGAACTCAGGGCCCTGTCACTGTGGCCCCTCTTCACTGTTACCATCACCAGGGTCTCCGCTCTCACCCCGTATGTCCTTGACCACCTTTTGCCTATTTTCCCTTCCGACCCCTCCCTGGGCCTCCAGCTGTCTCCCTGGCTGGGTTTACATCTCGGTATGTCTGTCCACGCTGCTGTCCATCTATTTCCTTCTCCTATCTGATCTCCATTTCCAGAGATTCTGGCTCTTTCCTTCTCCCTTCTCTCCTTCCTTCATTTTCCCTCTGCCTCTTCTTTCTTCCTCCATCTCCCTCTGCTTGTTTCTTCCCTTTGTCCCTGCTGCTTCTCATCAGTGTCTGACTCCTGGCTCTGTCCGTCCCTCTACAGCCTCTATTTTTATCTCGGTGACAGCCCCCCACCCCGCAGGCCCAACTCTCTTGTCTGTATCTCCCTCTCCCTCTCCTTAGGTCCCAGCTCCAGGTCCCAATTAGTTCGCGGCGGCCACAGCAGCGCAGGGCCCCCACCCCCGGCTCCTCATTACAGCCGGCGGCTCCTAATGAGCCTGGGGGGTGGTTGACCCGGCGCCCCCGGCCCAGCCTGCGTCACTGCCCGCTGCGGGGGCCGGGCAGGCGGATATAAGGGGGCTGCGGGCGGCGCTGCCCGAGCCCACTGCGCGGTAGGCGGGTGGGAGGTTCTGCGTGGGGAAGGTGGACTTTGTGAGTCCTCCTCTGTCTCTCTCCACAGGTGATGGAGACCCGCCAGGTGTCTAGGAGCCCCCGGGTGCGGCTGTTGCTGCTGCTGCTGCTGCTGGTGCCCTGGGCGCCGCGCCCCGTCTCAGGGGTCGCTCTGCCCCCCGCGGGGGTCTTCAGGTGGGAGCTAGGGAGCGGCCCCGGGGAGAAAAGGACCCGGTGGGAGGCCCGGGGTGGGGAGGGGAGACCCGCAGGGAGGGGAGCGGGAGCGGGGTGGAGGGGAGAGGGGGTGGAGAGCGGGAGAAAGGCGAGCTGGGGTCAAAGGAGTCGGTGTGGTGGACTCGGGACCCGTGGTCGAGGCACATTCGTGGGTTCGCCGGTGCCCGGCCCTGCGGGCGGGGCGGTCCTGGTGCTCAGGGCGCCTCGAACCCGCGGAGCTCGGAGACAGACACAGAGAGGGACAGGGACGGACCGACAGGCACGTGCCATCCTCAGGCTTCGAGTTCGACCGGAGGGAGGCCCGCCGAAGGCGGGCGGAGGCCTGGACGCGCAGCCACGGAGCTTGTCCGTCTCTCCGCAGCTTCCGCACCCCCGGCCGGACCTCGGGAGGTCTCGACAGCCCGGTGTCGCGGCGGAGCCTCGCGCTGGCGGACGACGCGGCCTTCCGGGAGCGCGCGCGGCTGCTGGCCGCCCTCGAGCGCCGCCACTGGCTGAACTCCTACATGCACAAGCTGCTGCTGCTCGACGCGCCCTGAGCGCCGGGCGGCCCGGCTGGGCCCAACCCAGCCCCTCCCTGGCCAGGCCCCGCCACCGCCCCGGAAGGGCCCCGTCTTGGCCCTTCCTGGACACCTCGTCGGACATATCTGGCCCCGTCCCACATGCCGGGCCCCGTCCCACCTGCCGAGCCCCGCCCCTCCAGCCCCCGCCCCCGGCCCTCTTGGCCCTCCCCAATAAAGACCCTTCGCGCCCTGGACTGCGCCTCCTTCCTGCGCCACCAGCGCGCGCGCGTGCGGATGGTACGCATGTGCACGTGTGGATGGCGCACACGCGTGTGTATGTGTGTGCGCGCGCGTGGGGCTGGAGACCCTGGGGGTGGGGGGTGGGGCCTGTGTCTGGAGCCCGCTCTTTCCCTCCTGGCCCTCTCTCGGAAGCTGGCTTCCTGGGGATCGCGTCCCCCCTCTCTGCGGGTCCCTGAGCCCTGTCGGGGGCTCCCTCCTCTCCCAGGCTCTGTTCTCGTCTGCCTTTGGAATTTTATCACTTCCCTTTCTCTCTCTTTGGCGTGTCTATTTCTCTCTTTGGGCTTTGCTGTGTCCCCCCAGACTTCAGCATGGGCGCAGTGGAAAGAACGCGGGGCTCTGGTATGACCCTCACCCTGCCTGGCCTCCAAGCTCAGGCTCCCCCGAAACCTTCTGATGTTAAGAAAGACGCCCTAAGTCTTCTTCTGCTTCCTTTCCCTCACTCTTGAGAAATAAACCAGATATCTCCAGATAACTACAGCACGACACTAATAAAATACTTCCAGTACAAAAGGCTTCCCGCCTTCCCCGCAGCAGCCTCCCGCAGTTTCTTTGTGGTTCTGAAACCTCGACCTTCCCGAGACACCATCGGGGCACAGGCTGGGGCTGGGAGTCACACTGGCGAGGATTGGAAAAGGTGGGGGGAGTGGAAACACCTGGTCCGCAGGTGGGGCGGGGAAGCAGCCAATCAGAACCCAGCTCTCCCTAGAGGCCAGGCCAGCCCCTCAGCCCCGCCCCTCGGTGGTGCTATAGCAACTTCTTCCCGAGGGGCACGAGGGGAGGAGGTACAGAGCGCTCTGTGCTCTGATTGGTTTCTGGGCTTGGGGCGGGGCTGGCGCATCCTCAAGGCGGGCCCCTGTAAATTTGCATTTCCGGAAGCGGACTGAGTCCTGATTGGCCCTTCGGCCTGGAGGCGGGACGACTTCCTCAGGGTCATTCAGAAATAACTGCACAGGGAAGGAATGGCTATTTTTCACAACAATCTGGAATTAGCCTAAAATACAAGACGGAAAGTCAGGAGCAATTTCTGCAGGTTATGGGAACTAGTACAGGACAGAACCAAACCTTCAGGTTCTAGATTTTTCTCACTACAACCAGGAACAAAGGGGTTAACAATGTCCATGCACAGTCCCTGGGTGCTCAGAGCTCTTCTAGTGCTGCTCTCTCGTTCTGACTCTTGTCTCACGGAGGGCGGACCAGACGCCTTCCCCCTTTCCTGTGTGCTGAGAGCCTGGCAGACAGGGCCTAACTTTGGCTCTTCCCACTAGCTTTCTACCACATCCCTGGCCTAGCAATGGAGTATTTTCACAGAACGGTGCCAGGAACATCTTCCCTCCCTTCTCTCCTCCCAAGAGGACTCAGCCCTGGCAGACTTTTGACCACCATTCGCAGCTGATGACACCCCTCTTCAGACAGGGAGCTCAGGATTTGGGGCTCAGGAGTCCAGCCACCTGCTAACCCCGGCTCATGTATGGACCTCAGTCCCACCCTCAGCATGCCTTTCTCACTATAGGGCTCCAAAAGCCCACCTCTTCCCCTTGTGTCTACCCCTGCACACAGCCCTCTCGTGCGCTTGGGAATAAAGTTCCAATTTTCCACTATATGGATTTTCTCAGATCCTTCCTTAGCTTCGAATCTTTTTTTTTCTTGTCAGTCATGGAGCTTGAACTTGGGGCCTGGGCGCTGTCCCTCAGCCCTTCAGCTCAAGGCTAGTGCTCTACCACTTGAGCCACAGTGCCACTTCCAGCTTTTTCTGATATGGTGCTGAGGAACTGAACCCAGGGCCTCATGCATGCGAGGCAAGCACTCTACCACTACCTTCCCAGCCCCAAATCATTATGTTTTAATCCCAGCAACAGGGTGCTTCAATTCTTCACAAACACTGCTTTCCCCCAATTGCCTGATCTTCATATAGTCAGTCTGCCTGAGCCACCCTCCTGTGCTCACTGTAACAAATCCACACCCATCTTTCAAGACTACACAGAGGACTATGGGAATGATTCAAATCATACCACAAGACCCTGAGATCAATCTCAGTACCACCAAAAGGTTTTTTAATAAGAAATAAAAAAAACTAACCAACAATCATTTGGGTGTGGTGGTTCACATTTGTAATCCCAGCTCTCAAGACAGGAGACTCTTGAGTTCCAGGCCAACCTGTGCTACATAGCAAGACTGTTTCAGAAAACCAAAAAATAAAGACTACATGCAGACTTCACTTATCACGGGAAGCATTATTTGTACAACTCCAGTGCCATAAGCCATGTCCAGCATTCTGAGGAGGAGTCCAGTCATATCCTTTTGGGAGGAACTTCTGGATCTCTACCTCCTCTCCTTTTGTTCTTCAGTCTTCTCAGGGTCAGAAGGGGCTTCTAGCACTGGAATGCGCTGAAGGTCAGACAGGAAGATGGTCAATGCTAACAAGGGTGAGGGGTCTGTGGAAGGCAAATTTCAGTGCCTGCAATCTCAGCACCAGGGAGCCCAAAGCAGGAGGATCGCAAGTTCCAGGCCAGCTTGCGCTACAGATCAAGGTCTGTCACAGCGCTCTCTCTTCCTCCTACAGCAGAGCTGCTGACAGTGGACAATTGGGAGACATCACATAGAAACACTATACGGGGACGGAGACCTCCCCATGTACTGGCTCTGGGGTGAGCCCAAATAACAGGGGCATATGATACCAGTACAAAGTGCAGGTGGGGGTTCTCCGCTGTTGCTCAGAGGGAGGGGAGTGCCTCACACAGGCGGGGGCTGCAGGTAGCAGAGCTGGAGGTGGGGCCAGGTTGGGGGTGAGGGCTGGCCCAGCAGCTGGACTGAAAGCAACAGCAGCAGCAGGCCCAGGACCAGCCCTGGGACCAGCAGGTGCCAAGTGATCCTAGTGGTAAGGGGAGGCAAAAGATGGGTTAGGGTGGGCCCCAGGGGAGCCATGGCCACCCCCTTCCTTCCAAAGCCACCTCTAGGGCACACCTGAACACGTGGGGGCGCTGGGAAGGCAGGCAGTGCGAGGTCCAGGGCTGCCTGAATGGGACCAGCTCTGTCAGTACAGGCACCAGGACACCGAGCTCTGGCTCCACAGGGCTGCTGGAGGGACTAGAAGGAAGTAATGATTCCTGGGCTCTTTGTCTCAAGCTCCCTTCCCGGCCCCACAGTTCCCATTACCTGTCAGGAAGGCTTTGTGAGGTGTCTCCAGAGTCAGGATCTCTTAGAGGGACAGGGAGTGCAGCCTGGAAGGAAAAGGAGACGTCTGTGGCCTGGCCTTGGAGCAGCCACACAGGCCTCCTAGGGCCGGCTCACTGGCCCCGTGACCGCACTCTAAGCTGCCAAGTTGGCCACTGTTCTGCCAGCTTCTGGCTGTGTCCCTTGGCAGATCATCATACCTCTCTGCCTTGCTTTTCCACTCGCTAGGCAGGGAAGATGATGGTCTCCACCTCACAGGATTATAGTAGAGGCCACATGCACGAGTGTAGAGAAAAAAAGGGGAGGCCGCCAGGCGCCAGTGGCTCACACCTGTCATCCTAGCGACTCAAGAGGCTGAGATCTGAGGATTGTGGTTCAAAGCCAGCCCAGGCAGGAAAGTCTGTGAGACTCTTATCTCCATTAAACCACCAGAAAACAGAAAGTGATGCTGTGGCTCAAGTGGTAGAGCACTAGTCTTGAGCTGAAGAGCTGAGGGACAGCGCCCAGGCCCAGAGTTCAAGCCCCACGACCGACAAAAACAAAAAGAAAAAAAAGAAAAGAAAAGAAATAACGGGGAGGCTTCAGTACTGTCATCTCCACTTGTCCTGTCCTTTGCAGATGCCTATCCCTGGGCTGGGTGGTGGGCAGCACTGGCACACCTCACATGCATTCCTGCCAGGGCCATGACCCACAGGCACTTTGAGATTAAAGCCCCCAAGCTTTCTCCAGAGACCAGACTCTCCCCACCATTCCCAGCCTCCCCTTCATAGATCTAGGCCTGCCCACACCCCCACCTTTGCTCCACATGACAGGGACAACCACCCAAGAAAACCGGAACACCGTCAATCGCAACCACTGTCTTCCCTGCTGCCAGCTACAGCGCCAGGCATGGAGCCAGGCCCTTTACCATGGTGCGGTGCTGGCTGAGGATGCTGTGGTGGAGTCCCTGTGGGAGTGGGATATGGTGGGAAGAGGGGAGATTTGGGGTCCCGTTTGGAGCTGAGCTTCCTCAAGGAAGAGGCCTGGCTTCTTCCTCTCTCAGCACCCAGGTTCTTTTTCTTCCCTTCCGGGTTGTGATCCTCACTTTGCGCTGTGGCTGTGAGGGGTGGCAGGGCTGGCGTGGGCACTGGACTCTAAGGGAGCTGAGGCTGACTGGAGGCGCCTTCACCTCAACGTGTGGGCGCATGTGCGTGTGCATTTATGCAATCCGGGGGCACTGCCACGTCTGCCTGGGCTGTGGGGTGGTGGCTGTAGCCGGGGTGTGTGTGGCTGGACGGTCTCTTGGGAACATTCTGGCCGCCCACTGGCTTCCCGGTCTTCCTCCACCTCACCAAACGCTCTCATTAGCTACAGAGACTGCCTTGTTATCTCTTGGCCAAACGATTTTTCTGTCTGCTCCCGAGGCGTGGAGATGTGTGTGTGGGGGGGCAGGTATGGAGAGGATAGCAAGGAGGATTTCATCAGCCCCTGGGGGTGGAAGTAACTGGGGACTGGAAGAAGTTTGGGGGGCTGCCTACCATGCCGTGGCTCTCTTCTTCCTTATCTGTTGCTTCTTCCTCCTCCTCTTCCTCCTCTTCCTTCTCCTCCTGTTCTTCTTCCTCTTCTTCCTCCTCTCTTCTGGGTACCCTGGGGCTAAAACAAAAATGTGACTCAGTGGCTCCCCTCTCTCCAACTCCCAGGCCACTGTGGGGCCTGCAATGCTGGGGTCCTCTTGGGGGAGGGTCTGGTGGGGTCTTGAGTATGGACTTCTCAGGATTTCTCATCAAATTCTCAAGAGGACTGGGACTCCCTGCCCAGGAGAATCCAGGCTCTGAGCTCTGTTCAACCCCAACCCTTTAGGTGTGTGGGCTCAGCCCTGCACCTCCACCAGTCAGAGCCATCTCTTCAAGGATTCAGGTCCCAAGCTGACCAAAGACCCACAAAGACTGACGTGTCTATATCACCATCTGTTGGGGCCCTACATCTGCCATTACCACATGTTCTCATGGATACAAAACATTTCCTCAACCTCATATGATGGCAGGGTCTAAGCTCATGGTCCCCAGCTTCTATGTCAGTCAGACCTAACTGTCTGAACCCCTAAATTCCCACCTGGGACTCAGGCCACTGAGTACCCCTTTAGGTCAAGCCCCCAGTGCTAGTAACCCCTAGAGGCTGGAGGATTCCCCACCTTCCTCTTTCCTTGCTTCCCACCCTGGGGTCTCACTGGAGGCTTTGGAAATGCAGCTGGAAGCAGCCCCACCCCCCTGTCGTCCCTTCTCCCTTCCAGTCCCTGATGACGCAGGGGGAGGTCATAGTGCCCGAGCCCCCAGTCTGCCCGATCTCAGTTCTTGCCAGACAAGTCCAATTAGAGGCTGCACTGGCAGCCTCATTAGTTGTCACAGCAAGAGCCTGAAAGGAGAGTGGGGAGTGGGAGGCACCATTGGTAGCAGTGGCCCTAGGGTCGTGGTCTAGCATCTAATCTTCCTAAATGCTCAGAGGCATAGACATGGCCTTGTGCCTATCTAGGATGAGACCTATGTAGGTCTCATCCATCCCAGGACTCCCTGGAGGCTCAGGGAGCAACTGACCACCACAAGCGGTCCCAACCCCTGACATCTATGCCTTATTTCCCAGTGGTATCCTGGGATACCAGTCCTGTGGGGCCCCCAGCTGTCCTCTCCCTCAAGAAGCCTCAGCTGTTGGGGGTCTCTGTGGCAGCCATGAGTGAGTGAGGGAAATGTCATGTGACTTGGCGAGGTATGCAGTCCTTACATTGGACACCTGGTGTGGATGCCATCAAAGATAGAGATGGCTTGGGGAAATAAGCTCCTTACCACCCTGATGGCTTCTTGCTGCCTTCTTTGGGACGCACAGGCTCTCCGTGGAAGATGCTCTGTGGAGATGCAAAGGTTAGATCTCCCCTAGCTCCTGTCACACAGAGGCCGAGCCACTCTGCATGGGACCTATGTACAGAGCCTCTCCTGGGCGGCAGGCTGCCCATGAATCCACCACATTTCTTCAAGTCCTCCTCCGTGCCTCCCACTTGGGAGGACTCTATCATTCCCCAGGAAAAGAAGCCAGAAATGAGCCAGTTGTTTTGGATTTTTACCAAGCCCTCTTTTCCTACGGGATGTGGAAACCTGGGTACCCTAGGCTCCTGGGGTGCCCCAGAAACCCTTCCACTTGCCTGTGTCCAGAAGGCACTCAGTCTTTCCTTTCCAACTCTCTTGTCTGTCCTGGGCCAGTCGTCCCACCTTCTACCCCTATGACCCAGGGACCTGTTTCCTCCAGACACATCACTGAGAAAACTGTTTTCTCAGCCATTCCCTGAGCGCTAGCCGTGGGCCTCTGACTGCCTCTGGTAGTGGCTGGATGTCCATCATCTCACAGTCATAAGGTAAAGCTCAGTGTCTTTCTCCTCCCTTCTCATCAGGCACCTCCTACAACCTGTCTGTCCCTAGCCCTGGGAAAACAAGTTTCTCCTGGAAGGGTGGTGAACAGGTCTGAAGTGGTAGAGCTTTCAAGATGATCAATATTGTTCAGAAAGCTTCCAATGTTCTCTTTAAAAAGGAATTCTTTCAAAGGGAGCAGAAGAAAATGTTTTCAGTTCTGGGTATTGAAGATAACTTGCTTTAGTGGTTTCAAATGATGAATACTGTTCAGGTCATTAAAGAAGTTATAGAAGTAGCTATTTAACTTTAGATCTTATTTTGAGTTTGGCATGCCTGTAAAAAGAATTCCAGCACTTGGGAGGCTGAGGCAGGAGGATCATGATTTTGAGGCAGTTCAGGACTACGTAGTGAGACTATCACAAAAATCCAAGAGCTGAGGGTGCAGTCAAGTAGTATAATCCTCCCCTAAAGAAGAGATACTATAGTGACTGTTAAGTTTTTCTTTCTTTTTTTTGTTTTTGTCAGTCATGGGGCCTGAACTCTGGGCCTGGGCACTGTCCCTCCGCTCTTCAGCTCAAGGCGAGCGCTCTACCACTTGAGCTACAGCACCACTTCTGGTTTTCTGGTGGTTTATTGGAGATAAGAGTTTCACGGAGGGCTGGGAAGGTGGCTCAAAGGTAGAGTGCTTGCCTTGCATGCATGAGGCCCTGGGTTCGATTCCTCAGCACCACATAAGCAAAAAGAAAAAAAAAGC